TTACAATTACCAAATATTTTTACACTATGTATCTGAAAATAGATAAAAATAAGACAATACAGACAAAAAAAAAAAAAAACAAAAAAAAAAAAAAAAAAAAAAAAAAACACGAAAACTTTTCGAAGCATTCTTTTTATAATATAAACGTTCATTTTACTTGCTTTGCACGTGGCGTTGTAATTTCGTCTGTTACTTATTTGAAATTTTCACATTTTTCTATGTCTTAAAATTAAAAATTGAAGTTAATGACCTAAAACTGTGATAGTATATTACAGTACAAGTGAAAAAATTGACAGTTTCACTCGCGTGTATCGGATTTGCGCAATGCTTATGGGGACCCACAAAATTTTCGTAAATATTATTAGGTCCTGGTGTCGCGGAAAACACTCAGTGATAAAAAGGGGTCGCGAATGAAAAAGTTTAAGAAACCCAGCTCTAAAAGAAGACTCCAATCTTTTACTTGAATTCAGATTTAATAACCTTTAGATCTAAAACAAAACGAAAACTACAACTAAAAAAAACATGAAATACAGGTAATATTGCCACACACACACATTAAAAAATAAATAAATAAATAAATAAAAAATAAAAAAAATAAAAAATAAAAGTCTCTAAAACTACGTCTCATCCAAGAGTGACGTCCTATTTTCATGGAGCTCGTAGTAGTTTTTCCTTTCACTCCGACCGGTTTCACCGTTGAATCACTGCTTTCAGCTGCTGCCGCGAAAAATATGCTGTGTTTCCAAATTTTCGATTCTAGTACTTACCAAATATGTTCAACAGGATTAAGACCTGGCGTTTGGAGTGTTCCTTTAATTACTTTTGGAGACTTATATAACAGCCAGAATCTAACACTGTGGACAGTATGCTTTAGATCATTGTCCTGGTAGAATTTAAAACTATTTTGTGTAATCAGCTTTAGTGCTGACGATGCCAAATTTCGCTTAACTCCTACTCCACCGTGTTTAACACTTGGTATTAAGTTTTGCTTTTAAAGATTCTTCTTTGGGTTTTCTCCCCACCAGCACCCGTCTATCTGAGTCTAAGATGTTAAATTTGATTTCATCAGCAAGCAACACGTTTTTCCAGAAGTCTAGGACGTTTTGCCGTCAAAACATCTTTTCTTTACATGATTGTATTATATCTTGCCGTATTAGGCTCGTATTAAATTAATTTAGTTTAATAATTTCATTTACCTTTTGTATACTTAATAAAGGTTGCTTGTAATATATATATATTTGTTTACAAATATGAAATATAAAGAAATTAGACATAGTTAGTTGAAAATTATGTCAGTATCAAAGAGAACTGAGGCTAAACGTCTGATATAACAGATGTTATATTACCAATTTTAAAATTATGCGGGTGCAATATTTACATGATTCGTCAAAATATCATGAAGTTTTAATCGGCTAGTTCAGAGAAAACTCTCATATAAGCAGGAAATTCGCATTTATATGGAATCTAAACAAGAAACAGAAGTGATTTGGAATCTTGTGAGCATATTACTCTCTTAAAATTAATATGTCATGTAGCGCCCGAGCGGTAAAAGTAGCTGAACCCTGGTAGTTCGGTCCGAGGTTCGAATCCCGCGAACGGGTTGGCTGCATGGGTGTTTTCGTGGTTTTCCCTATGTGTAACGTGTGTACGAGCCAGTTTCCCTAAGAACGTCCTCCACAAAGGCATCCCTCCCCTTAGGCAGATAGCCCTCGAGGCTTTGCCATAATCACACACATACAAACATTTCGCCGAGGTTCAAGGTAGACGTTGGCTCCAAGGGTTTGTCCCAGCAAATTATAAAAACACTTTTCTGCTTTGGAATTTAATTTATGAAACACAAATTGTCTATTTCCCCTTTCCAGTCAGTTTTTCTTGATTTAGTATTCTTCTCAGGCGAAGTTCACGAATACGTGATCGTTCATTTTCCAGCATCGCCAACAGGATGTTTTCAGAGTGAGCAAAATAACAGTTCTTCCGAATAACTTTGTGAAAGATTACCTTAAAATTTTTCGGCAAGAATGAACTTTTCTTCATCATTCCGTGAATATGACATGCTCCACATGTAGCTCTCGGGATTTCGCCAGTTGATACATAAAGAATTCTATTAGCTGTAGTGAGCCATCTTGAGTGGACCATCTTCCCAATACTTACTGTCTGTTAGGCCTAAAGGGCACTCCTACTAAAATACTCCCTTAGAAATATCAAGGATATATGGTCAGTACTGAGGTCCTTTTGTCAATTTCGTATAGATCAACTGGAATAGGGACATAATCTATCACGGGAAGGGTTTCACATGTTTTCACGGATTTTCCTATTGTTTCAGAAAACTTTTGCGGCCCAGATATATTTCCACCAGTCTTCTGGAAAAGACGACGAAGAAGCAATTGGTGTGCAACAAGCATATAAACCAATGCAGTTTATGACCAGCAAAGATCTCAAAAAGATCCATTTCTAGTTCACGCTCGACATCTTAGTCCAACATAAACAATGACTGATAAACCAAGATTGACAAAACACACAGAACAACTAATTAACAATAAAACGTCTTTGAAAGATTATTGAAGCCACGTGTTTGCTTACCCAATGCTGGAACCAATAGTCATATTAGAACCCGTTCTGCATCTAGTTGCATATTTTGACATTAAATGTTGATATTTTGGTGCGGGAAGCAATTTCTCGTGCTAATAATGGTGTTTTTGACAAAACAAATCATGAAAAAAGCATAAAAGCATTAAAAAAGTCAGTACAGATATTTACTTGAATCTCAAGATGTCAATATTTTCGACTGAAATTCGAACACGATTTGTTCTAGCTCATTTGGAACCATCTAATGGACTCACGCAATATGACTTTAAAGAAAAAGGTTTTTCACTCCATGCATTGGAGAACTCTCAAATTTAAGAATAAAGCACCAGGAATGTGCTGCGAGGATGGAAAAGTGAAATCACTCACACCAAATGGGAAAAAGAAAATATTGTGTATCCAAAAGCATTTCAGTAAACTGAATTAAAACACAAACACTTTCTTTCTAAATAAAATATATGTAAGTCTCTAATAAATCAGACTGGATCGAATTTAAAGTAATAAACAGAAAGCGTTATTTCACACAACGTTTATTGACGAACCCCGAAGACGCAATAATACTACATATACATAATTATGACATCCCAGTTTCTTTTTACAAATAAACACTACTGCCATCTATTGACAATCTGAGGAGACACAATCAGAAATTTATATTTAACACTTTCCTTTAAGTAGCATTGCAATGCATGCCGGGTAACAACCACGTATCCCAATAATTCCGACAGATATACCATTCGAATTTAAGCTTTACCAGTTTCAGTGCGACTCACATTTACAATGACCATCAACAAAGCACAGGAACAATCGCTACCCTAAATTTGGAAAACCCATGCTTTTCACATGGGCAGTTTTATCTGATATGCTCCCGCGTCGGAAAAGCCTTCCAATTTATTCGTGTACGCACCACATGGGAATATATATATATATATATATATATATTGTGTGTGTCTAGAATCACTTCAATAGACAGAATTAAAACGCAAACACTTTCGTTCCTTTAAGAGCATCGCAACACATGCCAGAAAACAGCTATTTATAACATAATTGTAACATCAGTCCACAATCTGCGAGTTACATTTCTCCGTTGTTAGACAGACGTACTATATTATTATTTGGATACCTTTAATAAATATGCAAGGGTTAGGTTAGATTATTTGAATATAGCTAAGCACACAAGAGGTATCGACCTAAGAGATGGGATGCCTTCGAGGAGGATTTTTTAAGGAAAATTTGCTCATTTTTGCGTTGAACACGATAAAAGCACGAAAACCGACCGTGCATCAAGTCCGTTTACCTGGGTTCGTAGCGGGCTCGAACTAACAGTAATTAGCGGTGTTTGAAATTAATTAATTTCTTGACTTATTTAGTAACTTCGGACAAATGGTAATACATTTAGCAGAGAAAACCTTTTTGATTAACAACGAACTATTTTATTTAGCATTCTAAACATAACAGAAAGAATAACATTCCATGCGTTATCACGCTCAAAACAATATATAAAAAAACACCGCTGTTGCCACAAAAAATCTACACTATAATGAACATATTAAATTATTGTGTATTAATTGAGTTCGTGCACGTTTCTTAACAAGCGGCTTTAGCCACTCGAGCCCTAGTGGGAAAAACATGCAAACAATAATATTTATTAGCCCAAAGTGACATTTTGCCCAGAAGGGTTATTAATTTCATTTTGGCATTTTGCATCGTCCACTATAAAATGGCGTTTCATTTTTCCAATGTTGCCAACAAATATTAGAAACTTGTATTATATTAAAAAAAATTAAATAATGAAAAAGCTGCATGAATGTATGTGCACGATTAAAAAAAAACGGTATCTAGTACATCAAATTTTGATTAAAGTAACCCTCCGCTCGAATATGGGCATTTGGAAGCCAAAATTTTGAATTTGAAATTTGTTTTATTATCTGTTTCATATTTTGTAAGACTTTAACGAATTTTTGATTAAGAAATTCAACGATTTCAAAGCCGGCAATGGACTCTAGAAAGAAAAGAAACATTTACATTTCCAGAGCGCAAGACTATGTATCGGAAATTCTAAAGATATGATCTTTTAAAATATTTTTTGATATTGCTGTTGAATTGAATTTTATGTTTTAAGTGCGAAAAACATGATATTTAATAAATAAAGGTAACATACAGAACGTTAAAAAAACGCCCCGTTGGGCGTAATATAAAATCTGAAAGCTTTTCAGATTTTCTTTCTTTCTTTATTATTATTATTATTATTTTGTCAAAGTTAAAACGTTTTGACAGTTTCTCAGAGGAATGTTTCAGTTGCGTTAATTTTTAAAATACTAAAGCCTTGAAAATAAATTCTTTTAAATTTATACAACGATCAATTATTTTAAGCTTTCTCGTGGAGCGAGCACTTCATCATGCAGTTAGATTGTAAACAAAACTTTAAATTTTCGTTTTTTAATGAAACAGCTTTTTGCAAAATTATTTGATTAAAATTTAAGCAAATTTAGGAACATTTTTCAAAATTTCATGATTTCGTTATGACAAAAGATCATAAAGAAGGTTTAGTGAAAGTTAGTGTAACATTTTATTTATTTATGATTCATGAATTGATAAATTATTTTACATTGCTGAATCGCATTGCTTCACATAATATAATGCAAGTTTGGTGATTTTGTAACACATTTTAACGCATTTTGCAGCCTGGGAATGAGGAATACCTAAGCTATTACAATCGGCAAGGAGAATGGAAGACAACAAAAGCAATAGGAACTATAGGATCTATGAATATTGGTCCTGGGCCGGCTATCGTTAATTTACCACAAACAATAGGTAAGATTATACATATTTCCTAAATTTAGAAGTGAATTCTGTCATGTGGCAATGTTCATGAAGCTGACTATCTTTGTTCGCTTAGATGCTGGCTCTAGACCCCAGTTATCCAGTTTCGGTGAATCTTCGGATTGGCGATTTTTTGGCGAAAATTTGGCGACCAAACCTGCTACAGCAACCTGCTAGTTTTTTTTTTTTTTTTTTTGGGACGCCATTATGTTTTCACAAAGTAAAGGCATTCTTTTTTTTTTTTCTCAACATTTTTGCCAACAATCTGCTAGCCGAATTACGCTTAGGCTAGAACATTTTATGGAACAAAAGTGCTTAATCATGACGAAGATTACGTGCGAAATCGGGAGAAACTGCAGAAACCGCTGAACGGTTTCGCGCGTTTTTAATGGAATTGCTCACTCCTTCAACTTGGTATCTGTGTACACGTCGACCTATTTTCACTTAAAAACATCCCCAGAATTGCACAAAAATTGGCATTGCGCATACTCTTTTAACTTTTATCCATGCACACGTCGACCTATTTTCACTTAAAATGTCAAAGAAAACTGACAAAAATCCAATTCTTTTTACTCTTGTAAAAAGCGCCAAACAAATAAGTGGGCGATTCTGCGAAATTGTTTCTAAGTGCTTATTAGCTAAAATCACGATTGGAATTTTCCGGAAAATGTCACATGACATGTCTCATGATCTCTCATTTCTCTCAGACAAAATAATCTGTGATTCGAACTGTGTACGTCTCAGATTATTGCTAAAGTCCTATCTAGTAGCCTTTATCGCCTTACCAAAATGTCGCCAAACTACCTGTTACCATATTCCAAAGATTAGTCCTAGTTCCTTTTTGATTAACCGTCCTTTTCTTTTAAGGTTTTTGTCGTTCAACACTCGCTTTTCTTGTGACAATGGTATGTTAAACGACTTTTAAAGCTGTCCAGACGGTTAAGTGAGACTAGTGCGGTACCGAAGGGCCTAGGTTCGAATCCCGGAGAATACATGGATTTTTTTAATTGTATATTGTATAGTGTTCGTAAGGCAGGGGGGGTGCTACTTTGGTAGACGGTTGCACGGATTTTTGCCGATTTACGTTGGCCGAATTGTTGGCGCGATTTTTACAAACGTCAGCCATCTTGAAAAATGCTGTTTTTACGCATGGTAAAGTATTCGAAACTTAAAAAATAAATAAATAAATATCGTTAAAAGTAATGGATTAATTTTTTGTTGAAAATGTCATTTTTTAAGATGGCAGGCAAGTGTAAATAAATGCATTTACTATGAGTATAAAATACTAAAGTAAGGTTATTATTACTTTCATATAGCAAAGAAGAGAATAAAACCACCGCTATAAAAACATTGGGCCAACGTTTAATTAGATTAAAATATTACTGAAATTGAATATCGAATTAAAAAACCATCATACCAACATTTAAAAAGAATTAGAATATTATTAAATTCAAATACTTTAAAATACGTTATATAGAAATATAATTAACATTAAAACATATGGACAATAATTATCTCAGGAATTTCTGAAAATAGTGTATTAATTTTTTTTAACAAAAATTGAAGTATACAATTATAAAATAAAAGAAAAATATGTACTTACATTTTTTTGAGTGTTTAACCTGTTGTTTATTGATAAGTACCCCCCAAAAAAATCAGAATCATAATTTAGATAACATCTTTGAAGGAATTCGAAGATATAAATTAAATTTTAAAACGGCGCGGAAATGCACAAATTGTCAGTAACCAATCAGGGAGCTGATTACAGCTCGTTAATGCACAAATATTCTATAACCAATCAGAGAGCTGATTACATCACGGCTAGAATTAAAATTATTTAAAAATTCATACATAATAAAATCATTTTTTAAAAAAATGCAAAATTAAATTGTATTTTAATATTTAAGAACCATAAATAATGTTTAAAACATTAGATTAAATTTATACATATTAAAACGAATTACTTTTAAAGTAAGGTGACGTCATTGATTACATCATCCACAACATAAAATTTCATAAAATATGATAAACAATAAAATTTTTATTTCAAATAAAAATGCAAAATTAAATTGATTTTTAATATTTAAAAGCCATAAATAATATTTTAAAAACGGAATTTATGCACAATAAAACGCATTATTTTTTAAATAAAATGACAACAAAGTATCGGTTACCATAAATAACTTATCCAGCAATGGGTTTACCATAAGTTGTATTACTCGACAAAGGAAAATCGCCAAAATCCGTGCAACCGTCTACTAAAGTAGCACCGGAGGGGGCGCTCTAAATATGCGGCGAGCCGAAAGTCCTCTCGAGAGGTTAGTGCTGGGGAAAGAGGCGTGGGGAACTCTCGGACCTGCCCTCCCGAGGAGCATATTTCACAAGTGCACATCTGTGTAGCCACCGAGGGAGTGGTTTCTAGGATGGATCAATGAGCATCCAGGAATATTTCTGTCGTGTCACATGACCTTTCACAGGCTTTAAGATTTAGGCAAGATGGTTGAAAACATTTTGCCACGCAATTTGCTGTACAAATTTCTGTACATCATATATTTCTTCTGAAAATTTTCATTGCGAAGATAGATCAAAATATAAGCAATTATGAAGATTTCACTACCTGGTTGAAAGAATTTGAAATAAATACAAACACATGTTGGATACTCCGCAAAAATATTCATGCGAAATATTACTTAATAAGTGATAAATAAGACGAAAGAAATATGTGATGCACATCTGAGTCCAAATGCTATTTTACATAAAACTATGCATATGAGAAAAATATTTGCACCAGTTATATATGTAGATAGAAGTCAGTAGTACTTTTATTTCAGTCCATATGAAAAAGATGTTCTATAATAATAGCCAATGCAGAATTTTATTCAAAGTGAGCTTCACTAATTTGCATTTAGTGTGTTAAATTTCAGACTTAATAACTGCTCACTCTTAAATATACTGTCTACACAAGAAATACTCATCAAACAGAATGAATTTAGCTATTCACAACGAATATATTCAATTTATTCACATATAACTTTTAATGTTAACAATGGATATAATCAGATCATACAGAATATGTATTCTGAATCTTACACTTTCAAAATCAAATGAATGCAAGCACTGAAATAAGAAAACACATCCAGATTCACTATAACACATCCAGTCATTCTCAGCTCAAAATAAAATTAAAAAAAAAAAAAAAACTATATACATGAATTCTCTTAATCCAGATTTGTTAGTAAATGCATAACATTCGAAGCTAATTGTAGCTTGAGTTATTTTCTCGGTGTAAAGAGCGATAATATGCCGTGAACATCGATCCAAATATCAATGCGTGATAAAAATAGCGAAAGTAAAATGTCGGCGATTAATTAAACTCGGAAAACGAAAGCACTACCAGATTTTCTACTTTTTACGCCATATATTTATAACCACAGCCAACTGTTGTGTTAAATGATACAGTCGGCTGTGTTTATAACTGCGAAACAAATGCAAATTAAAACGTAAACAACATACGCTCACAGGCACGAAGATTTAGCGTCACAAGAGCAATAGAAGCTCATTGGTCCATTTTTGAAACCCCTCCCTCAGTGTCTACGCTGATCTGCACTTGTGAAATACGCTCTCGGGGATGTTCTCCATCAGAATTGGGAGCGGAACTGAGCGAAGTCGCACTGCCACCTGTTAGGTGCTTAAGACTGTTGCTAACGGCAGGCACAATCTTGCTCTCCTTGCCATGGCGAATTTCGTGGACTTGTTGGGATGTTACTGTCAGGCACGCGAGATAAATCGCAACAACAATTAAACAACATAACTCTTAAATGTGATCGGTGGATATTAATTGAAAGCTCTTAAAAAGTTTTAGATAGTTATTGCAATCATTAAATTATTAATTAAAATTCGCAACGCATAAACAGAACGGTAGCTATTAAAGCCTTTTTAATGCATATTTAGACCTGATAATCAACGCAAAGATTCACGGCACGTGCAACACTGTTGTCGCAGCGAGTTTCAAGAAAATGATTACCCGACAGTTTCCGACTAAAACGACAATTCTACCCGATAATTTAATTAAGAAAGTTAAAAAATAAACTGCCGATAGTTACATTGCCAGAAAGTAACTAATTGTTAATTAAGTTAGAAATTGATTGTCCGACAGTTTCTGACTGGATTTTAATGGACAACGCAAGGCAAGAAACCACAAAATGAGCAGCTGGTTCCGACCGAAAGACTTGCAACTTTTTCTGCTAAAAAAAAGAAAAATTATAAATAAAAATAAAATTTCTTTGGATACAAAATTTTCGATACTATTCGGTTTCGAGGGCCGTAAAAAATCGCCAAACCTGATACTTGTTGATGGCAATGCTGCCAAAAATAATTGCGGCAACCCTAATAATTGCTGCAAGAAGACAAGTATAATAGTAAATAATTAAGACTGATGTTTTAATTTAGATGAAAGGTTAATTTCATGTAATACTTTTTTATTATTAGTCCAAAGGGGCTTTGTCCCTGAAAGACTATTGTTTTCGTTTTGCGATTTTGCGTCGGACTCATAAACGTCGGTTCACTTTTCAAACTGTTGCCACAAAATGTTAGAGTCCTGCATTATATTTGAAGAAATTAAATAATGAAAAATCTGCAATAAATGTTATTGTCTATTTCTCGCATTGTGATAAAACAATGGTACATAGAGCCATCGAATTTTGAATGACGTAATCCTACTGCGAATATGGCATCTGAAATCCCAAATTTGGAATTTTGTTTTATTATAGATTTTATATTTTGTAAAACTTTAAACGAATTTTTGATTTACAAACTCAATGCTTTTAAAATCGAGAAATGGCAACGTTATATATAAAAAAAAATACTTTTATCTCCAGCTCGCGAGACTGTGTATATCGGAAATTCTAAAGATATGCTTAATTTAACATTATTTTTGGGATATTGCTCTTGAACTGAATTTTATGGTTTAAGTGCAAAGAACATGATATTTAATAAATAAAGGTAACACTCAAAACGTTAAAAAAACGCCCCTTTGGACGTAATTTAAAATCTGAAACATTTCAGATTTTTTTTTTTTTTTTTTTTTTTTTTTTTTTTATAATTTATATGAAAAAGACTAAACATGACTGAATGGAAGCGTAAGAGTAAATAACTATTTTAGATCATTATTATAATTTATATAAAAATTGCTAAACATAACCGAATGGATGCCTGCATCGCTATTTCGCTACCGACTTTTCGCTAAAGCATAATTTCATCTCGTTGGTTGTTCAAACGTAATTTTCTGTAATGAACGATGCCTTTTCTTTGAAAATATTCTCGGTAAAGTGCAGAATCGCTCACTTATTTGTTTGCCGCTTTTTACAAGGGTAAAAACAATTGAATTTTTGTCAATTTTCTTTTACTTTTTTAAGTGAAAATAGGTCGATGTGCACATGAATACCGAGTATGTGCAATTCTTAAAAACGCGTCAAACAGTGGTGATCCTGCACTTTACCCAAAATTCTATTGCCGACTTTTCGTCATGGGCAATTCTCAAATTGTTAAATTCATGGGATATCAAAAAAGGATTTAAAATAATAAAAAAAAAGGATTTAAAAATTAAACTAGTATTTCAATGGCGTCTTAAGAAATATAGAACTATATAAACATACGCAATCTGAAATCAGCGCGTACGCTAGATTTGGCACGCTGTTAAATGGGCGCGTTTGCTAGATTTGGCGCTTTTGCGCATACATTTTCGCTGCAATTTTTTACGGTCCTCAAAACGGAATAGTACCAAATTTTCTTATAGTGGCTACATAAATGTTGAGAGAATTTGTTTACACTTTTACAAAGAATGTTACATTTTACAGAGATTTTTCTATGAAGTATAAAATTTTGTTACTGATATAACGTAGAAACTAAATAATAAATGGATAATAAACCAATAAAATAAAATAAAAATGAAAGTAATTAAATATTAAAATATTGTAACAACTTTCCGACTTTATTAATTAAAAACAATGCCAAAAGCAAATTGACTACTCAAGGCAAAAACACCGTGGAAGAAAAGAAAGCAAAGAGAAAACCTCGTGGTATAAAGCATCGCCATCGAAAATAAGGCGGCCCAAGAACATTACAGTTGCAAGACATCGTCGTAAAAAATATCAAAATACCTACAAATCATCGCATGATGATGACGTCGCAGACACGTGTTTGTGGATAATTAATATATATATATATATATATATACGTATAATTGAAATAGAAATTGAAAAGCTAATAAGTAAAGTGTGGTAAGACCCATTTGGTCTTAAAAATTTTGCGTTTTTCGTACAAAAGCAAGAAGGAAATTTAAGCATTCAAAAGCTCAAAATGAGTACAAATCTAATTCTACGTATCCGCGATTCTAGCGCTCTGATACGCCATCTAGTGGCTAAAAGGTGGAAACATTAAAAATCGGTATTTACATTTGACAATGCTACGTAGTTTGTGAAGCGTGTTGTGATCGAAAAGTAATTAAAAGTTTATTTTTTATTGTTGTTGGAACTGAGCTGAGATTGAACTACCAGTATTGAGTCCTTTAAACCACTCGTAGGACAAATCTAAAGAAAATGCTTGTAATATCATGTAATCAAAAGTTAACTACATGTTATATGCCAGGATTGCTTTCTCAAGTACTGAGGTAGGTGCTCTTTTTTTTTTTTTTCTTGAAATGTTTGGCCATGGTATTATTCATTGCATGTATTTTCTATAATACATATAGAATACTAATAGTTCTATAACAAGTGTCTTTTTTTTTCATTTTTTAAGTGCTTTGCTTGTTGATATTCTCAAAATTGCATCTGATAATTAGTGCTATTATGTATATAATAAATACAATAGGTGCATATAAATACATCAATATATTTTTAGTATATAATGATTCAATATCATTTTTATGGGGAAAAAAAAGACACTTTTGACAGCACAGATTTTCTGGAAATCCCAAGTTAAACACATGTGAAATCATTTGTTTACAATCAGTGAACACTAAAATCAGCTACCTGTCGCAATACAATAAAACAGCGACACAATTTCCTGCAACAGTCAGCAGTTCCTCCTTTACATGAACAAGAATTTTTTTTTTTTTTAATTTTTATTTCTCCTTTTTCAACAATAAAATGTCCTTCGATTTCATGCGATCAGGACGTTATAGAACTTATCCTTAAATAGAAAGCCAAAATTTGTACATTGGATTTCAAGTAAAATTCCGTGCATTACGAAATGATCAGCTTTTTAAAATTCTCTCTGCTTCAGTAATGCAGCGAGAATTTACGCCTCCTTGAACAAAATCAAACATTTCGGAAAAACTAAGCAACTCCACTTTTGAATGTACGAAGTCAGATAGATCACAAATCAAAATACCAATTTTTATCCGCTACACTAATGTGGGAAAGCGCCACCTATAGGTGAATTGAATCGCAATTAAGAGAATTTCAAATTTATGTACTTAACAATTAAAATTCATTATTTATTTAGTTCCTTTTAATGAATTTGTACTGGTATTTTTCATGAAAAATATAGCCTAATACAACTTTATAAAATATATTAAATAAATAATGACTACATAAATTTAAAATTCTCTTAACTGCTATACGTAGAATTAATTTTTTATTAATCTTCAGCTTTTGAATGCTTAAGTTTCCTTCTTGCTTCTTTAGTAAAAAATATTATTAATTAATCCAAGAATAGGAAATATAGAGATAAAAAATTTCTCATTCCTACTTGTGGTCACAAATCATTATGCGAATATACATTTAAAACCAGAAAAGCATGTTTCTGCAATGTTATTTTAAAATGTATTTGAACCGCTTTACTTCCGACGACGATATTCTGTACCACAATATTTTTGCCTTGTGTTGTTTCTTAGGGACGTTTTTGTTTGCGATGTTTTTGCCTCGATGTTTTCGGCGGACATCATAATGCACAATTATGTGCAATCTTTAAAATAATACTTGTAATATTTAAAATATATTTTTCTTTACGTTGCACAGGTGATCACGGTCATGATCCAAGAAGGGCAAAAGCACCGGCATACGGAATTGGAGGAAGGTTCGTAGGTTTCTTTTGTTGTATTTAAAAGCATTTCTTCTTATTATGTTTGTTTAAAATATTCATGTTCTGGCAATACCAAATTAAAAAAAAATTTCGACAAATAGCGAAATCTAACTTTTAATTCGGTCTCCCTGTTTGTATACTTATATTTGAGAAGTGTAATACTCCTTATTACGTAATTAATCAACTACTGTTGATCGAAGTTGTCAGAATCCACTTACGTATGCAGGTTCTATTTATATCGATTTAAAAAACAAGAAGAAAATCATTTACCTATTCTGATGCATTGTTGAATCTGACGTGATGTTTCAGCTGGCAATCTTCTTTACAGAAAAACCACAATTCTATTTTCTTGACATCACATTATATTTACGTAAAACATTTAAAAGAAAAAAAAATAATATTTAAATACATTTTCTTGTGCAGTCACTCTTTTTCTCTTATGGCTGTACGAAACAATTTATCCGCCCATTACACGGATTCGAAACAAACTATCTACTGTTTACAAAAAAGAATAAAAAAAGAAACAAGGTTTTAATTTCTCTCGCAAGTGGAACTCCTAGCTCCCTCTAGCGAGAGAAAGCCACTTTATATGAACATTTAACACTCCTTATGACAAAACAAGGTTATTAAGAAACTTGACTAAAGATGACCGCGATATTTATATTCAAAATTTGCAGTTTTTGATATCATCCGCAACTTGCCGTTAATTCTAACTTAATTAACTGATCCTTGAATGAAGAATCAGTTAATTAAGTTAGAATAAACAAGTGTCATTGAAATGCAGCAAAAAAATTTTATAATGTCATGTGGTGTGCGCATCAGATTTTTTCCCTATAAAAAAGTAGTTTCCATTTCCCCCCCCCCCTTTTTTTATTTTTTCCCTTTTTTCTTTGCTTTCTTTTTTTTTAAGCCAACGGAACTACACTAAGAAAGTTCAAACAATCAATATTTTGAACGAATGACTCGTTAATATTAAAACGACCCAAGTTATCGCTAGAGGTCCCAAACAATTTCATCATCTGTGAGCGTGGCTGGTAGCCTTGGAATATATGACAACTGGCGATGTTCAGTATTAATGTTTATTTGTTTTCTCAAAGATTATCTTCTTTGAAACGTGCTATAGCCAAGAGAGGTTCCTCTAAATATACGTAAATAATGCGTTTTGTTGCTGCAACTGATCCTAGTGAAGAGCATTTAGGTAAATCGATTAAATAAGTTCGAATGAAATAAAGTTTGAGCTACAGTATGAAAGAAGCATGATTCTTATGTTTGGGAAAATCGCCATTCCGTTTCGTACTATTTTACTTTTATACTCTGACAACAGCTTTTTTTTTATTTCCTTGTGCAAAGTAAAAAGGAAGTATTGCAATCGCAAAAAATTTCGAGTGTCATATATTTCAACATAAATATTTTGACCGCTATCGAATGCAAATTATCGATGTTTTTGCGTGACATCTGTACGTAAGGACAGAATAAAGGACTCTCCCCCCCCCAAGAAAAAATTATAAAACTGATTTAAAATAAATTCGGAAGACATTTTTTCGTGGCGTTTGTACGTACGTATGTATGTATGTATCTCGCATAACTCAAAACCAAGTAGCCTCAGAAAGTTGAAATTTTCTATATAGGGCTGCTATAACATGTAGATGTGCACCTCCTATTTTGGTTGCAATCGGGCCGCACCAAAAGTATATAAATATTTGTATATATATATATATCCATTCTGTTACTCGGCTCAGTGAGGTCAGTTTCTTTGTTCTTATATGTTTGTAAATTGTGCATTTTTGGCTTTAAAGGTGATTGAATTAGGTTGTTTTATCTTCCGGTTAAGGTTAAGGTCTTAACTAAAGATAACCTGCATGTTATAGTTGTAGAGTTTTCAAGAATTTAAAAATTGTTTAAGTGCGGCTAAGGCTAATTTTTTTTTTCCATAGCAGCCATATTGGTTTACATTTGAAACTTAGCAGAATAGTGGATTTGTTGCCAATCTAGAGAAACTAAGCTTCACAACAACAAAGTAACGTCTTCTTTTATCATTGGGAATTAAATTATGCTTAATCCATTCTGGAATTATCATTGAAGTTATTAAATTATCCCATATATTGACTCAGCATGGCGTCCACAACAAATTAAGTGAGTCTCTACGCCTCCATTGTCTTTTTCCCGAGTGAGACCAAAAGTAAACTCAGTTTTATGTACTGAAAAATCTGTCTTCTTGTCCGCTGGCTGAATTGCTTGTTTTTGCGTAGAAATTGTAATTTTAATTGCAATTTTTTTTTTTTTTTTACTGTATTTGGTGTTTTACGTTTTTTTGTATCTTTAAATTTTTGATGAAGATATTTTGGGTTGTTATTTTGCCTTGCCGCGAAGTGAGAACTGAATTCATTGAATGAGAAATACATCTGTAACGAAATTCGAGGAAATAAATGTTTCATACTAGCAGAAAATGCTGCCTCCAGTCTATTTCGGACAGAGGAGAATGCTTACGAGTAGTGCATGCGCATTAGGTAAGCAGCGCTGAATCGTCCGTGAAAAACTGTTTATTTTTTATGTGTTTAATTTCTTTTATACATCTTTTTAGATTTATTATAGTATTTGAATAGAACATCTGGCAACGGTTAGATTATTCTTCAGTTGACATAATTTTTTCGCGTTCTGAGTTCTAAAATGAATGAGATTTAACGCTGTTAAGTGAATCTAGTGCTAGAGTATCGCTATGGTAAATAAATATAGTGAAATTTAAAAAGTGCGTTTATTCTATTGTGGTTTATGCGCTATCGACGAACTAAATTTAATTCGATTCGATAAGTTTAAATGAAATGCAGAAAAATTCGTATAATTTAATATTCCGTAAAAGGAAGTCACGTGGTGTACACATCAGATTTTTTCCCTGGTGTTTCATTTCTTTTTGCATGCAGTCTGTCGTCAAATAATTTGTTTTCAAATAGTTATTTTTAATGAAAATACCTTTATTTTCGGAGGTTATTTTTTTGTCCGTGTTTGTATTCTACGATGTTTAAAACTTTCATTTAAAGTTCCATTTAGATTTCCGTTAAAGTTCCCATTTAAAATGTTTAAAGTTCTTCAGGTGATTTAATTTCCCTATCTATTTAAAAATTTTTTTAAAATATGAAACGCTGTTGGAGTAGAAATCTAGAAATTCATTCATCTACCAACCTTTTTATAGGTATCACGAATTCCCTGCAATGCATATCTAGAAAACAAGGTTATTTAATTAGTGAACATATTTCTGACACCATTAGAACATCATGATCACATGGAGTGACACTAATAAAATAAATGTCTATTATATCTTTACGAAATTCGGGATATTTACAGAATGCTGAAAGTTTTTTGGGACATATCTTGGAGTGAGTTTATTGCGTTTAAGGAGACTCATACACCATAAAACCCATAAGATCTTCGAATATGTGACTGTTGCAAGAATTGGAATAACTTATTTATTTGAAAAGCAATTACTTCCAACTTTTTACAGCTGACTACATAATATAGCTGCTTTGGAAACTAGTACCCAGAAGGTGTGTGTTGCCACAAATATTTTTGTAATTTAATCCGCTTTGTGACAAAAGTTTTCGTCATGTTTCCACCTTGCGCGCATGATATTTTAAAAATGGCTAATGGTACATACTTGAAATTGGATGGAATTCTTTATATGGGCACTACTTTCTAACTGAACCAAACGTTTGATGAATATTTTAGTATTAAAAAAATTTATGCGAGAAAACATTACAGATTTTTTTAATAAAAGACATTTTATAAACTCAACTCCAAATAAAATAAAAATTTAACATGAAATTCTTAGAATTTTAGGTTCACAGTAGTTTCCAAATATTATAAAAGTTTTATATTAAATATGGAATAAATTATGCAACAGAATGTTTTAAACTGTGTGCGCAAGGTGGAAACTTGACGAAATATTTTGTCACAAAGCGGATTAAATGATAAAAATATTTGTGGCAACACAAACTTTCTGATTACTATTTCACAAAGCAGCTATATTATGTAGTCAGCTGTAAAAAGTTGGAAGTAATTGCTTTTAAAATAAATAAAATATCCCAATTCTTGCAACAGTCACATATTCGAAGATCATAAGGGGTTTAAGGTGTATGAGCCCCCTTAATCAAAGACGTTTGGCTACTTTACTGCAAGGGAGTGGTTCCCGAACGTTTTGACTTGAACGTTTGACTTGAAGAACTCTGTGAGTTCTTCAAGAATAAATTTTTATGACTTACTTGGCCCTTTCCGTGATCTTTGGCTATTCGATATATTACAAGTTAATAATATCTAGAAGCAGTGTTAAGGAGAAGATAGATAGTAAAGGAATATAAAGTGAAGTGATATCTGAAAAACGTACAAATAAAAAAAATCCATGCAATGAAATTATTTTAAAGACTTTGAAATTTACCATATTATCTCAGTTTATTCTCAAACCCCTCCAATACCCATCATATTTTCAGAGCTTTGCCATATAAAAATTTATTTCAAATCGTTTGCTTTACAACATATTACTGGTGACACCAACAATACAAGAGACCTGTACAATAAACACAGCTCCTTTCAATTTAATTATTATAGTGAATTCAATTAAAATACACATTTCATTATCATTAAAAATATTACGCATTACACAAAACAATATCTGTTTCATTTCCTAACTAGAGCATACTGTAAAGGCAACAGTAACAACAGACCTAAATTAAGATGGAACGTAAAATACCATAAATGTTTAATGAGCATGTGTAGTTGCATTCTTATTTTAGGTTTAGTTGATGATAATAGCTGGCGAATGTCTGGTTCTGCTTTCAAACGGCTTTGTATTTTATTTTGGTATTTGTATAAGCGGAAAATCTCACTCATATAGTAGTTTAGAAAGTTAGCAATATGTAAATCTTGTCTTTCTCAGACAAAATTATAAATGAATCTTGTAAATGCAGCTAATATTCCTGTAGACTTTAGTTATGACAGACGATTTTTAATTCGCATTAAAAAGTCAAATATATGAAAACCTCTATTCTGTTGAATTTAAACTAGGCCTTTTTTGTTTGTTTGTTTGTTTGTTCATGCTGAACACAATCAGAACCCATTTAAAGGTATCATGCATTTTCTGTTATGCTATCGAAAAACAAGATTCAAACGAATCTTTGAAAAGCTTCTAAATGTAAACCCATCATCTTTTAGTATTTTTTTTATTCATTTTAATTCAAGAAGCTATTTGTGAGAGAGAAATAATCGATAGCTTCCTTTTCATATATTCCAACCAATACGTGAGTTTCTTTTTAAAAGAAGATGAAACTGCGGCAGTTTTCCTTTTCAATGATACATTCATTTCATTCATTCATTCTGCTAAAAATATCTGTCCAATAATTCCAGATCGCATGACCAGTCTTCATCATTTAAACTTATCGCCAGTACAATGATATGGTCCATGTACCTGGTTCCATCAAACTCTGCACGCAGTTCTATCGAACTTGTCAATTTGTTTTCTTCACTTCACTTCAGCTTGTAGCATCAGGAACATATGTTTCTTCCCATAGCATCACACACTAGTTTGAAGACTCTGATTTTAAGAAGTCACAATTTATATTTTTAGAGCCTAATTCAATACTAGCAGAATTTCAGAAGGCAAATTTCATGAGGCTAGCGAGGGTCTGAAAAAGAGACGGCTGCTGTAACATTTCTTTACCTTATTTTTAATTTTAGCAATAGCTCAACATTGCCTATTTCATTTGTGTTAGTGATCTATCATTGCCTTTGCGCCATCAGCGTATAGTATGTCTGCACAGTTGCTCCAGCGGTATTTCTTTCAATAATAAGAATTCATCCAAAGAATTAACTATTTCACTTCCTGATATGTTGTAGGGTTTATATTTATTTTAACTAACATTTATTTTAAGTTTAAACTATCTTTCCTGTCAAGCCTTACTTTCCCCTGGAATTGCCAATGCCAGAGTATGTAAATTTTAGTAGAACGCGCAAAGTATTCAAACTGTCAGCGGAAGTATTTTTGAGTTAAATAGAAGGGAAACGAGTTCGAAAGTGTGCTTTCTTGCTTCACGAGCGTGGAGGTGGCTAGGTAGAAATAGAAGAACCCCGCGTTTCGGCCTGTGTGCTTGCCTCGGCAGATAGTTGAATCTTTCAACTTAATATTCAGAAGTTTGCTGAAGCATTAGCGGTATCTTAGAACGCGGTTAGGTTAGTTACGTTTAGAGAGCCTCGTAGGTAGTAACTTGTTATTATTCATTTTTAGTTTCTTATTTTTATTTTACCGCCGGGTCCGCTTAGTTTGTGAGCGTCAAGAGCACGCACCTGTAATTTCTAAAGTTGAATAAAAAGGGATTTAAACCCTTCTCAAGACTGTGTTTTCCAGTTCATAGCAGTCACCACTATTGTTGCGTGCAGGTTGGGGCCGCGCAACATTACAATGTAGTTGGCAATAGTTTGCAAAGAAGTACTTCTCTTGATATCTTTATAATTAATCATAGGGAGAAAATGCCATTAAATCTACAGATATGGTTATTTCAGTCGTTTTCATCCAATTGCAGCTGGAACGTGGCACTCTTGATGCGATTGAGAAGTGACTCTTCACATCATCAGCAATATCATTAATTCGTTGAGTAACAATGGCATTTAATAAAAGTGCATACCGTGAATGGAATATGATACAAAATATCTAGTCGTACTATAAGCGTATTCTCTGAATTTTAAGGTGTTAATTTTGTGACCTCTTGGTGCATTTTTAAATGAAATTTACATCTAAATTTAGGATAAGAGAATAAACGTCGTTCGTGCCATATTTCTGCCAAAACTGTGTCTAAGTCGGTCCTCGCTTAATCAAGAGTTTTCCTTAAATGGCTGTAGAATGCCTTTTTTTGTTTCGTACAGTTACTTTATCTACTCTTCTGGGTTAAAACCTTTCAACGGAAACTTATTGGCAAAGCGTTAGCAGGCATGTCAAAATGAGTATCCATCCATTTGATACTAGTATTGCAAACATTAATCTTTCAGTCTCTATCATTCTGTCAAAATTATTAAACTCTCTTATATTTGCCTCACAAATACAGCATAGCTGTACGGATAAAGTATCAGCTATAGAACTACATGCCTTACCCTACAGGAACTTTTGACAATTCTTTAATGAACTCTGTCATTAAAGATCTACAGTCCATTTGTAAGATATAGCCTTTTTAGGGCTAATAAACTAAACTAGACCTTACAATAAACCTGGCGAATTCTCGCACAGGCGTGAAGTAGACACCAGCACAGAAGAAGGTTTAAAATAACCCTTTATTATTTCCAACTAATGACAGAAACGCACGTACTTCGTAAGTTACGATAACATAGACCACTTGCGGTGAAACTTAAGCGTTATAGCATAAATCAGTTCAAGTCTAAAGCTCCAGAATTTTCCGAAGAAAACTTCTCTAGCTCCAAGCCTGCCAAAATTCCAGCGCGGAAAAATCCCAGCCAAGCTACCTACAGCGAGAAACTAAAAGGTAAAATTACTCCCTCCCCTAAAGACCTCAGCAACGCGATGAAATGGATTAACTCCTTTTTAACCTCCATTATCTCTTATATTGGCAAAATCAGGCCAGCAAAGAATTCTGCAGAAAAATTACAAACAGGCTTCCAAGAGGCTATGTTGCTCATCAATTTCGCGGAATTCGAAGATTAGGAAAGATTTAGCACTCTCTCTATGACGAACCAATAGCGAAGCAGGAAATTCACACAACTACTTTCCGGACTTTATCTCTGCTACGTCTTATGCAGTCTACCTTCCTCTCCGAAGATCTTATACACAAGGATCGTATCTAACATCTTCTGAGAATTCTTTCTTTTTTAGAATTCTCTGCCATCACTTCTAATGTTATGGTAGGAAGGTCATGCCATTTTGCCATGCGTTATATACAGGATGAGGCTTTTAGACTAGGCGCCTGTTCTCCATGTGCTTCGCACCTAAGCCTTCAAGTATAAATAGAATAGTGGTGGATTAGCACGTTAAGTTACAGCTAACTTAGGTTGACTCAACAAAACCTAAGAGGGGTAACAATTATCCAAAATGGCCAAGGGGCATACTACCGTAACAGCGAAAATAAGCAACGAAACGTGCTCTGGCTAGCAAAATAACGCTCTAAATACACTCAGAGATTCACCCGTTTAAATACTCACTTCACTTAGCTTTAAATTTACATCCTGGTGAGGAAATGCGAGGGGGAATTTGAAGAGTGCAGGAACGATAACGAAAATTTGAAAAATCTGAATAAAATGTTAGTTAATTAAAGGAAACCCTACACATTGCACTAAATTATTTTAGAATCTTTAAGGTCTTTATCTTATTAGGGTCACAAACTAAATGAAGGGTTACCACATAGATGTCATAAATACAATTGGCCTCAGATCCATGGAAGTACTTGTATATTTGTAAGTCAAATACGATTTACAGCAAAATTAAAGCACTGCAGTTTTATAATTTCTGTGATAAATATTTATCATGAAATCATTATTATTGCAAATACATGTGCACGCTCTGACCAGGAAACTAAATTAAAACAATTTTTTTGTTTTGTTTTCTTCTCGCTATTTAGGAAGAAAGTTTTAAAACTTCAAATTTTAACCTCTATAATTCAAACATTTTAATAGATCGATGTGTACATGAACACCGAGTTTGTGCAATTGTTTAACTTCTTATTTTGGCTTTGTGCACCTTGAAATTGTGTCTTCCAGGCGTGTCTATCTTCGCGACAAAAAAAAAAAAAAAAAAAAAAAAAAAAAAAAAAAAAAAAAAAAAAAAAAAAAAAAAAAACAGCCCCCCCCAAATAAAAAACAAGGGGCAACCAATTGTAAACTATTTTTTTTATTACTGTGTACAAAATATTAGCAGATATTAAAACCTTACATTTCTGAAATTAAACCATCCGTGAGAAATTCTCAAATTAGTCAAAATAAAAGGTAATACATCAGATCAAGCATCTTACGAAAGCTTCAACTAAAAAATCTTGCACAGCATGCAGCAGTCGTAACAATGGCTATTTTTACATTTAAGGTGAAAAGAAGGGTAATATGTTATGGGATCCAAAATATTTGTTTTCGTATGTTTTGTATAACAATTAACACAATTACATCGTGCCACCTCTGTAGTCTGCTACTTTAAAATAGGCACTTCAAGGTCAAGCGTAAGCCTTCCCTCATTTACGCTCGTTAAATGTATAGTCATCATCGAACAGAGAGAATAACCAGATTTTAACTATTTAAAGGATTCTAAACTCTCAAAGCAGTAGTCGTTACCGTGGTTACGAGGCATGATTTGGGGGAAAGGCTTTGAAGTAGCTATTCTAAAATAACCGACTGCAGCTGGCGAAATGTCGTCTGCTACAGAAGATCTGAAAGTGAACTTGCCAAATTCAGAATTTGGCGGAATAATGTATTTTAATTTTTTTTTTTCTTTTTTGATTCTACTTTTTCTTTTTTTTTTTTTTTTTTTCATTTTTGATTCTACTTTTTATTTCTTTTCCTTAATTTTTTTTCAATTTATATTTACGTTTTTTCTCTGGAGCGGCAGTAGAACTTCTAAAAAGCGCAAATTGAGAACCTCTGCTTTAAGATATATCCCAAGGAAAATTCATTAAATCGTAGAAATAACATACATTGCTTAAACTTCCTGCCAAGGTCTTGGTTTAGCAGACTAAAACACTATCACGAAAGAGTACTTTCTCTTCCCTAAAATCAAATTTCATCTCGGGGGCCATTAGTTTAATAATATAGAAAGACTCGAACATGGCAGTAGGGATATACAAAAATTGTGTATTGAAGGTTCAATCCTGTTTCTTCAGTTTTCGATTTTGCATGTGAAAATAATAGATAAAAGTAAAATACTTTTTGCCTCATGAGATAGAGAACCTTTGTTATATTTATTCTCTTACCTCCAATCGAAGAATGAATTTCGCTTATTTTCAAACTTGTTATATCTGCTGTCATAGTCATATACTCATTTCAAAACGAATTAATTTTAAATATTGAAATGAAAAATGCTTTTCAGTATAACAAAATTTTAAGCTGGCTCAGCTTCAGGTAATTATAGCTGAAGCTGAACTAACGTAACATTTGGTTATGACTGAAAAACATGAGTAGTACCCCATTAGAGGTAATCTTGCATAATCAGACTTTGCCAGTAGAAATTTTGTTTTAACTTCAGGGACATGCGGCAGTTCTTCACCTGCAGTCCTGGTCCAGCCGTGTATGATACTAGAAAAATAACCAATAAGGGAAAAGACGAATGCCATGCACCATTTGTTGGAGAGAAGATCGACGGCTTGACGTTCTTCACAACCCCGGGCCCAGCTGTTTACCATAGAGGGTACAGCGATCCCATGGTATATCCTCGTTCACCTTCATATACCATGCGTAAGAAAACGGCAATCACGAAGAAAATATTTGCACCAGGTAAATGGTAATAGAACAAAGTTTTGTCAATCTAGCATAAAATCATTTGTTTCAAATATTTGTGTAATTTAGTAAGCTATAGCATACAATTATTAATTAGGCTGCATGATTAAAGAGCCTTTAAAATGATTACAGGAAATGAAATTTAAGAAAGACCCATTTTACCAGTCTTATATATATATGTTATCGTGAAAAACCGAAATTGGAGAATGCCGACTTTCACCGGAGAATTTCAACATTCACCAAATACGTCGGTGAAAGATCGAATATTGCACTACATTCTTGTATATTCGGACCCTCACGAAACACTGTAGACACACACACACACACACACACACACAAAAAAAAAAAAAAAAAAAGTTTGAAAAGTTTTTAGATTTTAAATTACGTTTAAAGGGGCGTTTTTAACATCTTTGTTACATTTATTTATTCATTAAATATCACGTTCTTCGCACTTAAACCATAAAATTCACTTCAACAGCAATATCGCAAAATAGTTTTAAATTGAGCACATCTTTAGAATGTCCGATATAGAGACTCGCGCGTTGGAGATAAAAATGTTTTTTCTTTGCAACGTTGCCATTGCTTGCATAGAAATCCTTGAGTTTGCTAATCAAAAATTCATTAAAATTTTACAAAATATGAAACCGATAATAAAACAAATTCCAAATTTAAAAATTTGGGCTTCCACATGCCCATATTCGTAGGAGGATTACGTCATTCAAAATTCGATAGCTTTATGTACCGTTGTTTTATTAAAATGCGAGAAATATACATACATTTATGCAGATTTTTTATTATTTAATTTCTTCAAATATAGTGCAGGACTCCACATTTGGTGGCAACAGTTTGAAAAGTGAAACGGACATTTATAGTGAACCAACGCAAAATCGCAAAACGAAAGCAGTAGTCCTTCAGGGACAAAGCCCGTTTGAACTGAGAAATAAAGGATATGTTATTGTGAAATACCGAAATTGGAGAATGTCGACTTTCACCGGAGAATATCAACGTTCACCAAATACGTCGGTGAAAGATCGAATATTGCACTACATTCTTGTATATTCGGACCCTCACCGGTGTATGTCGACAATCACAGATATGCTCTGATGAAAGTCGAAAAGAGAGGTTTATAAAGTGCCATGATAGTTTAAGTTGTTGCAATAAATAAGATTTGAATCACATAATTTAGTAAGTTTTTTATTACTGTTATTTTATTTTCTCATTTAGAACGTACTGTATAATTAAGTAAGTTTTTAACTTCTATTTTTCCTTTCTCATTTTGAATGTATTGTGTGTTTTAGGTTCTCATGTTCTTAAGTTCTTATTTCAAGTTTCGAGTGCGTTTATTCGCGACTGAATTACGGAGAAGAAAATATAATATTGTTATATGTTCAACATTCACTATTAGTACATGGTGAATGTCGACATCGACCGGTGTAAGTCAGAAATAAGAGTATTTGGAAAATATTTCGGACATACACCAAGAGACTATGTGAATGTTGACATTCACCGGTGAAAGTCGACATTCTCCAGATTTCGGTGTTTCACCGTAACATATGTTAGTATTATTAAACAAAAGAGTTCCTATAGACATGCATTCATATTCAGTGTAGACATTGCAACTTTAATCAGCTCATTTTAATTGTTTAATATGTTCTCTATTATTAACGTTTCCCCAAAAAAATTAAATAATATTATTTTGGAATATTCTACATATAAAATGTAATGGAACATTTAACTGTTCATAACTGTCATCCACTGTGAAATTCCACAGAAGACGCAAGTATTCACGCTTGCAAAAACGGCTTTCAAACTATCAGAAATGCCTTGTTTAGTAATGTCTGAAATAGATGGTGTATTTAATTATGGCAAAGCACACTAGAGCTATCTGCCTCACGGGGAGGGATGCTTTCGTGGAGGACTTTCTAAGGAAAACTGGCTCGTATACACGTTACACATGGGGAAAACCACGAAAACGCCCATGCAGCCAGCCCGCATGCGCGTTCCGGTTTGGGGCGTTCCTTTACCGCTCGACCGCTGGTGGACTAGAGTGTATATAAGAAAGATATTTAAGTTGAAATTTGAGTTACGAAACTTATGTTTAATGTGGTACGTATAGTTTAGTTGTAGAATTTTAATACTATTTTAGAAATTCAAATTTGTCGCCTGATTATAATCTGTTTAAAATAAAATCTGCATTTTTAAAAGGTTAAAATGTTTCGTTTCTAATTCATTTGAATTTAAATTGCAGAACATCGTAAATTAGAATGATTATCCTTTATTTTAATTGCTCATCTTAAGTAAGTAACAGCTTTTTTTACCAAAGAGCATTTTAGCACAGATGCTGATTTCAATTTGTAATAAAGAAAAAAAAAAAAAAAAAAAAATCAGGTGTAATGCGTTTTATTTTGCGCCTTAAATGAAATACTAAACTCTAGTTATAAAAACATATTTATGAAATGAAGTGAAGTATCTTATGAATTTTCTTTCATCAGCAAACATAACTGGCCAGCAGACTCCATTATTTACTTTTTTTTTTCCAGCGACCCCCATTTCTTTCGACTAGTCGTATGTGAATTCTTGTGAAGTCTTCCTACTCGACTAGTCGTATTCGACTAGTCGTATGAGACTAGTATTTCGACTAGTCGTATGAGATATCGCATGTCTTCCTTTCTATCACTCGTATCTTAATATACAATATTCAATTTTATTAATAGACAAAAATTTAATGTGGTCATCATGTGACCTTCCGCCAATTACGCGTTAAGATACAGAATTGGCGGAACAGCAATTAGCCTTAAGTAAACTATCATTTCTGGTGGATCGTTTGTAAATAAAACTTATTTTATTTGTAATTTGTTTGTTAATTTATTAATGTAATTTGGTTGTCTGTTTGTAAGGATTATGTTAATTTTATTAACAGTTAAATTTTAGGTTAAAGTTCCTTTCCTGTCAAATTCGTAACTTCAACTTACTACTTCCGGCCAGAACGTAGTTTTGGAATCTTGCTGAATATGTAATGAGGAGGAGCGGTATTTAAACCACGAAGTTACTTACTGAGTCAGAGAGAATCAGAGTTTCTGATTTACACGCGTCTCCCTCTTTAGCCACTCTCTCTCAAAGCTGTTATTACGCTCGGCCGTACTCAGGCCCTTGCTAAGCTTCGTAGTCAAATAAGTTAAGGGGCCAACTCGATTTGAGCCTTGATAGCTTCGGCTATATTTCTTTAGTTAATCTTAGATTTAGTTTAATTCTTAGTCTTTTAAGTTCGAGCCCAAGTGCGGGCTTTGTTTGTACACTCCCAGGCGCAGTTTTGTTACATCTTATTGGAATAATAAATTCTATCTTGTTGTTTCTTGTTACCGAACTTAAGCGATTATTCGCTTATCAGTTCTTAGATTCTTCACTTCCAACATTGACTTGGAATTACAAAGTGAGGAACTCTACATGCTGTTTATAATTTGCAATTTGTTACGGCTGAATGTTAATTATAAGCACCCCTCCTTTTTTCTTATTCTATTCTCCTATACAATGGACAATGACAATGATTACTGTATGTGGCCATGTGTAGTAATAAGAAAAGGCATAAGAGTGTTTTGATTAAATTTAATTGTATGAGAAGCTTAAAATAATTGTGAAAACATTTCTTTATTTATAGCTCCTAATCTGTACACTCTTCCTGAGACTCTCGGCCCGGGAAGAGCGCCATTTGCAGGAGGCCCAGCCTACTCCGTTTCCAATAAATCTGACAAGACTGGCATACCTCAGCAGGTAATCTCATATCTTCTTTATTACCGTTTATCAAAACGCGCAAATGGAGATATTTCTCTGGTAGTAAAACAAAAAGCAAGTGCATGGATTGCAACTGTAAAAACGACAATGTAAAGATGCAAAATGATCATAAAAAATGGGGCACAGAAATAATTTATGGAAAAAGCGGCATACTTGCATACTGGTCTATTTGTTAAGATTTGTATAGACTGGCACTTTTGAACGCATGATATGTGATGCATAACGCACACAACAAATTATCGGTATTAATGAGTATTCTATCGCTATTGTTTTTAATAATACGTTCTGGAGATAGAGAGTCATCGAAAGAGATGGACTCAAATTTAAGCAGTTTCGTTAGAAGAAATATTTGAAGCTGTAACTGTAAACACGTCAGTACTGTTGTACTGCAGAAGACAGTTTGTACTGCAAAGATAACGAATTCTCCTTTTCTGTACTCATTTGGGTATTTAAGCTTAGAGTTTCCACTTGGTTAAAAAAAAAAAAAATAAATAAATAAAAAAAACAAAATCTGAAATGTTTCAGATTTTAAATTACTTCCAAAGGGGCGTTTTTTAACATTTTGTGTGTTACCTTTCTTTATTAAATATCATGTTCCTCGCACTTAAACCATAAGATCCAGTGCAACAGCAATATCGCAAAATAGTTTTAAAACGAGCATATCTTTAGAATTTCCGATACAGAGACTCACGCGCTGGAGATAAAAATGTTTTTTCTGCACAACGTTGCCATTGCTCGCTTTGAAATCCTTGAGGTTTGTTAATCAAAAATTCGTCAAAGTTTTAAAAAATAGGAAATCGGTCATAAAACAAATTTCAAATTTCAAATTTGGTCTTCCACATGCTCATATTCGTTGGAGGATTACGTTATTCAAAATTCGATGACTCTATGTACCGTTGTTTTATCACAATACGAGAAATATACATACATTTATGCAGATTTTTCATTATTTAATTTCTTCAAATATAATGCAGGACTCTAAACTTTTGTGGCAACAGTTTGAAAAGTGAACCGACATTTATGAGTCCGACGCAAAATGCCAAAACGAAACTAATAGTCCTTCGGGATTCAAATCCCTTTGGACTTAAAAAAAAAAAAAAAAAAAAAAAAAAAAAAGCGGTGAATATTTAGGAAGGTTTCTTGGAACCAAGCCTTAATATCACAAGGTGAGATTTTCCATTCTGCGTTAGTAAAGAACTTACGCACCCAACAAGGAGAATTTTTGCTTCTGGAGATAACAGTTCAAGTCGCGGAAACGAGTTCCTGACGAACTACGTTAGAGATTATAAAAGTTTTTGCCTTTAACTTTAGAGTCCTGATTTTGGTTATAGTCTGTAATACTACAATATATTTAAGCATGAATTCCTTTAGTTGCTTTCAAATACCAAAGAGATATTCTGTTTCTTACCAAGTTCATTTGATCGAGTCTTGTATGATTGCAACAGCAAGCATCAGCAATAAGCAGCGAACACAAGCCGTTATACTTGTGATACGACCATATAAATACGCGCAGTGGGAAATAATAACTGGGAAATCGCTGGCTGTAGTTGGCTCTGCATATTATAAATATCAGAGTTCCGATATACTTGGCAAAGGCACAGATCGATTTTAAGATCTAAGCGAGTTTGATCGACGACAGATTGTCGCTCTTGCCAGGCTGGATATTCGATATCAGCAGCTGCCAAACTGCTGAACATGTCGCGCAGTGTTATGGCCCTGATGTATTAACACTACCTTATAAAAGGGAAAAGCGGTGTGAAACGTACAAAGTATGGCCGTGAAACACCGACTGAGGCGCGACCTTTTCGAAGGCTCAGTCATATCGGTCTTGCCATCGATACGATATTACGGTAGATTTACTCATATTAGGGCAGATTTTAATGCAGGTGATACTTCGAGCAGCGTCTGCGCAAGGATTGTTCATCGGGAACTGGTGCAACTCGGTTATAACAGACCATATCGGGTTCCACTGCTAAAGGAAAGCCCTCAATTGCTATGATTACAGTTTGCCAAATAGCATCACCACTGGACGGTAGAAGACAACTGGACATTGCAACTACTCCATCGGTCACACGTTGCGCAGGAATGATTCAAGAACACAAAAGTGAGGTGCCGCCTGACCACTAGATTCGCCAGATACGATTCCTCTGTAGCATCTGCATATTGAGCTGCAGCGGTCTTTTCAATGCCTGGATTCTCTAGTAATAAGAAATTACCGGTTCACCAACAAGATCTCAGACTCGAAGGCGGTGCACGGTGCAAGCCCGAAGGCGGAGATTCAGCTATCTGTTAAGAGAAAGTGTTTTAGAATTTTTAATGTAGTTGGTAAATAAATGTTTACCAGTTTGAGGAGATTCGAACCTATAACAAAATCATAGTACTATGATTGATTGTTTTAGAGCACTATCTAATGAGCTTTTAATAATAAAATGAATATATTAAACATTGTTTTTTGGATTGGTCCCCACCACCACACGGTACAATGATATGCATCTCGACAATTCCGGAAATTTAGGACAGAAAAATTTTCCTTCATTTTTTCAAGAGGCCGAATATGTAATGCTATACTAAAATACATATCGTAATAAGGAAACATAAAATTAAGGAAACATTAAAGTAAAACTTAAGAAAGACGATTAAGGAAAAATTATATACAAATTTAATATACTCAGAAAGAAACATAAAACTAAAGTTGGAAAGACTAAATAAGAATAACTGTACTCAAATTAAATATGCAAAATAACATCAAATAAAAAACAATTAAAAAATAAACAAATGTAGTACGTTAAATGTAAAAAGTCAGTTAAATGTACGTAAAAAGACAGTTAAATATATACAAACTAAATACGTAAAAATACGTTAACGTAAATGAAAAAATAAAATCTCAAATAAAAAAAAAAGAATAAAAATAATTATATGCAAAAAACCTGAAAAGATAATCGAATATATGCGAACTAAATATATAAGATACGTTAAATGAGCAAAAAGATCTCAAATTACAATAAATAAATAAATAAAATAAAATATAAAATAATTAATAAAATTTTAAATGGCATAATAACCCATAAGCATACTTGTTCCCACTATCGAGAAGATATCGCTTGTTACTTCCTTGTACGAAGTAAAAAGGAAGTATTGTAATCGCGAAAAGTTTCAGGCAGCATATTTCAACGAAAATATCCATTTTGACCGCTATCGAATGAAATTTAACGATGTTTTTGCGTGATATCTGTACGTAAGGACAGAATAAAATACCCTTTTCCTTCAAAAAAATTATAAAACTGCTTTAAAATGAATTCTGAAGAGAATTTTTCGTGGCGTCTGTACGAACGTATGTACGTACGTGCGTACATATGTACGTATCTCGCATAACTCAAAAACGAGTAGCCTCAGAACGTTGAAATTTTGTATATAGGACTGCTATACCATGTAGATGTGCACCTCATATTTTGGTTGCAATCGGCCGCACCAAACGTATATAAATATATTTATATATATATCCACTCTATTACCCGGCTCAGTGATCTCAGTTTCTTTACTCTTATATGTTTGTAAATTGTACATTTTTTGCTTTAAATATGATTGAATTATGTTTTTTTATCTTCCGGTTAAGGTTTTCATGCCTTTAGTAAATCTGTCTGCAATATTTTGAGAATTATCAACAATTTTAAAGTTGTCTAAGTGCCGCTAAGCCTTTTTTATATGGCGGCCATTGATGTTTACATTTGAAACAGAGACTAGTGGATTTGTTGCCAATCTAGAGAAACTTAGCTTCGCAACAACAAAGATAACGCATTCATTTATTATTGCGAATTAAATCATGCTTAATTCTTTCTGGAATTTTTTCGAGGAAATAAGTGTTTGAGATTTACTTCGTAATTTTTAATATAGATATTTTGAGATTTTATGCATTTTTGCCTTCTCGCGAAGTGAGAACTGAATTAATTAAATGAGAAATACTCAATCGTCTGTGAAAAACTGTTTCTTTTTTGTTTTGTTTGCTTAATTTCTTTTATACATCATTCTAGCTTTATTATACTATTTGAATAGAACATGTGAGTCAACGATTAGATAATTCTATTCTTTAAATGATATAAAATTTGTGAATTATGAGTTATAATATGAACGAAATATATAAGTTAACTGTTATATAATTATTGGATTATATAACAGTTAACTTAGTTTCCGTTATATAATTATTATATAAGTTAACTGTCATATAATTATTAATACTGTTAAGTGAATCTAGCGCCAGAGTGTCGCTATGGTAAACAAATACTAGACTGAATTTTAAAGAATGCATTTATTCTATTGTGGTTTATGCGCTGTAGGCGAAGTAGATTTAATTCAACCCAATAAGTTTAAATGAAATGGAAGAAAAAATGCGTATAATTTAATATTCCGTACAAGGAAGTCATGTGGTGTACACATCAGATTTTTTTTTCTATAGTGATAAAAGCAACCTTGTTGGCTTCAACGGATATTATTTTTTTAAAACAAACCTCCATTCCAGTTCATAGTAATATCCACATTACAATATTTGGCAGATATTGAGCAGATATCTGTCCAATATTGAGCTGAATTCGTCTCACTTGGCTCAGTTACCTTGTAAAGCCTCTGGGGCATCTCACATGAATAACTTTTGACGACCTGAATGCTGCGGCAGCATTAGCAATAGTACCTTTCTTAAATCGGAAATTACTGGTACATGAAGCAGTAGGACTTGTAGGAGTACTCTCTCTTATGGCTAGAATGGCTCTCATGTCAGTGGCAATAACGGAAGGCCTTATTTTTTATGGTACGTATAAGGGCGGAACTCAAATATTTTCATATATTATTGTCTTCCTTGTATTATACATGTAAATACTAAATTTTTACTGCCAAGGTATACTACAATTGTTTGTAATCAATCATTCATTTTCAATTATGTACTCACGTATTTGAATTAGTATTGTCTTAATGTTCTCTAGATCATGGTG